GCTCTTCCTATGTTGAAATGTACCTTTGATCAACTTCCTTCCTTTCATTACCTATTATGCTACCATATCTATGGATTATTGCGAAAGTATTGTTTGCCAGGTGGATGTGTTTAAGTGGACCATAAACCATGTTTTGTGGGCCAGGAACATGTAAGATATTGGTCTATTAGGCCCAATTTAGAGGAATTTTAAATCAGATATACCAAATCTTAATGCGTTATATTTGATAATTATATTATTGTCAAGTCGAAAAAAAAAATTATAAAAATACAAAATCTATTGCAACCATAAACTCAAAATATTTGTCCAAAATCAACGTGACCATATTAATAAAAAAAAAAGTAACTATAAATCAATTTTTAGTTTATATTTATATCTCACCTATGCAACAATACAAAAAATGCAAATAAAGATTGTTTCATTTAATGTTTGAGCAGAAAAAAAAAAAACAATTTTTCATTGGGAGTGACGTATTTCACTACAAAAAATTGTTATATTCCAACGGAAAATCCTATGGTAATATATTCCAATGGAAATTCCAACGAATATTCCAATGGTATAGCTTCCGCTGGAATGATTCCAACGAAATTTGAGATGAAATTTGATAATTCCAACGGTTATATTTCCAATGGCTTTTGACTGTAGGAATTTCAGTTGGAATATGCAATTCCCGTTGAAAGTTTTATTTCCACCACCGTTGGAACGGTCAAAATCCAACGGAAATTCTAATGGAAAACTCATTCCAACGGAATATTTTTTGTTGGATTTTCCGTTGGAATAATTCCAATAGAAATAATAGCATTGAAATATCTATTGCAATTTCTGTTGGAATTCTATTGGAATATATTTCCGTTGGAATGTCATCATTTTCTTGTAATGTTTGTCTTAGTTACAATATCTGCAATAAGTCATAAAAAAGAAAAAAAAATACTCAACGTACATTAGTGATGTAGCATAGCATCGCTGATATTAAAGGAAGTAGCTCGACAAGTAGGCTGACCCGGTCCACTCAAAGTAAGCGCTGGAGCTCAGATGAGCTCGACCAAGTACGAGAACCTAGCTGACTAGCCGAGCTAGTTGGTCAACTGTGGGAGGCCAAGCTTGTAAGCTGGGCAGGTGGCCGAGCTGATAAATGAAGTAAACCTTGGGCGAACACACCTGAATGCTAGGAATGAGCTCGGCGGTACAAAGGAAGAGCTCAACTTGGTAGAAGGAGGTGGATGGTGTTACAACAGGGAGCCGTTGCGCATATCACGGAGATCTTCCCGGATCATAGGGAGACAGGGTCGAGCAGGACTCTACGGTCGTTGGATAAGATTTGCATTGTCCAGAGGTAGGCGGAAGAAGGACTCTTGTCATCACAAGAGTCTTTAGGGCGTCCGCCTTCGGATATAAAAGGGGCAGGTTCCTCTCTTTTTACATATAACACACAACATCTATGAACATACACTTTGTCTCATATATCTGCTATTTCTCCTAAATTCGTCACTGACTTGGGCGTCGGAGTGTTTGCGCCGAGACCACCCCCGGCGTACTTGCAGGTTACCGGCGATTCAAGGAAGGCAAACCGATTTGGAGAAGCGGTCTAGCGATTCGAGACAATTTGACATATCAATTAGTATGTTAGCGGCTCATTTGGAACGGTCTAAAAGCTAGATGAAAGTATGAAACGACATGCTGCACTTTTTAAATTTAAAAAAAAAAAAAATGAATAGTACAACCTCGTACTGTTATTAATTGAACTTCAAACATAGTATTTCAATATCAAAATATGCACACTATGTTGAGGAAAGCCTATAAAGAAGTGGCACGGAAAAATGAAGTTTTAAGTTTTAAACCTTTTTTTTCTTAGGATGAAGTATAAAGTCGTGCTATAGGAGCCACAATCTTTCTAGGGTTGGTTTAAAAATCTCCCTCTCTATAAAAATCCATAGTTTTTAAGATATATTTTTTGGCATTTCATAATTATATGTGTTCATTTTTTTATGTTTTGGAGTAATTAATGTCCATATGAACTTTTATTTGTAATTTAAGATCTTAAAATTATAAAAAAAAAAAAAATTGCTAATTTAAATTATAAATATACTTTAAATTTGTTTACTTTTATTTGTTATCAGCTTTACATATAATGCATATCAAATTAGTACTATATTTGTTATTTCTTTACAATTTATAACTCGACATTTCTATTGTAGACAAACATAATTACATCTATCTTTATAGACAAAAATAAATTATCTATATCATAATTTAAAAATATTATGTATCAACTTTATCAAGTATTTTATATTGTCTGAGTTGCAAAAATTATTATAATGTTGTTAAGTCAATTTTACTAATGACGAGTATCATTTCTAATAGAAATCATAATTAAAAAACTATTTGAAAAATTAAAACAAAAGAATAAAGTATTTTTAATTTTAAATATAATTTTTTAATCAACACTCGTAGATTTTACAATGGTGTGTTCTAATTTCGAGTGCCCTATGGACGGCATGCCATCAATTCCATCACGGTACATGATTTTTTGAAGTCAAGACCATTAATCTAGCATTAAAAGTCAGTAATTTGAAATTTGTAGAAATGAAGTTCACAAAAGTATCACCACAATGTATTAAATGCAATCCTCATAATCATGGCATTTATTTTACACGTGGCATTTCTTTATTAAGGAGTCTATTATTTAGCTTCAACTTAAATTTGAAAAACCAAAATATTGCTTGTGTGCATAATGTTTCTTTTTACATTTTTTACTGAAATATTATAAAAGTCGATTTACAAATTACACAATTGTCTCGGCCTTTCTGATATCGTCTGATCGATGCTGGTCAACTATTGTCAAATTGGTCATTTTGAAAAGATCCACAAACTTTAGGGTCCCTTAGTTTTAACTCTAAGATTTATGACATGTGTACATATTGTACATTAATTTTATGTTTTCAACTAAATATAGCCTATTGAAAAGCACTGTTAAATAATCTACACTATTTACTAGATACACTACCAATGATCCAACTTTAGAAAATTTAAATTTGTTTATCAAATAAAATATTATCTCATACCTTTTACATGACATTCAAAATCGAATTAGAAAATTTACTAGATACATCTTTCATACGTTTACATGATATATTTTCTACTTTTACATCACATCAATTTTAATCATTACATCACATCACATATCTTATACTTTTACATCACACAACCTTTAATCATTATAAATATTATTTAAATACAATTAAAAAATCTCAATGAATCCCCAACTAAATAAATTTTATTCATAATTAACTCATTTTAACCAATAAATCAAATTAAAATCGAATTTATTTATATCCAAGCACTCTTTCCAAATATTTCAGAGTAATATTAGAGTAAATATTATGAATGTTCTTTAAAAGATATTAAAAAACAAAAAAACGTATATACATGTAAAGAAAAATGCAATGAAATTCAAGTTGACTTTTTTAATAATTAATGTGTGTGTTCTTTTTAGTTTTTATTATTCAATCCCTCTCTGCATACATAACAATATTTTCTTGTGAATTATATGAATTAATGATTTATGCTTTGAAATAAGGGTATAGTTGGTTATGAGTTAAAAAAGATATTGTATAGGACTTCTGTAAAATTAACTTAAAATTTATAAATTTAAATAACTTTTTTTGTCGTTATGTATTCTCATACATGATATATCAAATTAATAGTATGACCATATATTTAATTAAAAAGTTAAATTATTCAGTTGTATAAAAATAAATTAACATAAAGCATGTAAAGTATACTGGAACCGGTTAAAAAAATTAAACAATGTGCAAAATTCAATAATTAATCAACAATGTTTTTTTTTTCCTCTAAATACACACTTAATTAGGTATCGACTAAAACAATATTGTCTGGTATATATGGGTTACGTGGATTTTATATGTACCAAGGTTATGTTTCGTAGCCAAAAGCTTATTTGGTTAGCTTATGCTTATGTTGATTCAAAAGGGAGAAAAGAAGGGGAGAGATTTTAATGGAGAGGAAAGAAGGGAAGGAGAGGTGATGTAAAATAATTTTACCTTGTTCGAAAGTATTTTCTTGGAGGGAAATTGGGGGAAAATTATAAATCTTGTTTAGTAAAACATGAAAGGAGAAGAGAATGACAAATATATCCTTAATGATGTTATAATAAAAATTTAAATATTATATATAATAAAGGCAAAATAGTAAGTGTATAACTTAAAATTTTTCTCCTCTCTAAATTCCCCATTTTTGGAAGGGAGCAAAAATGAGGAGGGGAGGGAATTCTAACCCAAAATTTCCCTTCTCTTCCTATCTTAATTTTCCAACCAAACAACGGAAATATAAAAAAAAACCTTCACCTTCCCTCCCATCTTTTCCCCCCAACCAAACACTACCTATAAGTTTTCTTCAAATAAACTTAGTTTGTTAGGACAATTTTTTTTAAAAAGTTCCAGCTTAGCTTATAAATTTTTTTGGTAACTTTTCAAATAAGTTCGTTTAAATTTTTATTTCAGCTAGTTTATCAATTAATTTTACCAAACACTTTTATCATATAAGCTAGTTTTTCAACTATAAGTCATAAGCTCGAAAATCGCTTATAAGTTATAAGCTAGTTTATCAGTTATAAACTATTCATAACTAAAATTTGTCTCACTATAGAATAATATAATGAACTTATTTTATTTAGCTTTATTTATTCCTTTTTTTGATGTTTTACCCTAAGCCTGAGGACAAAATGATTAACAATAGCAAATCAGACACGCAGTTGAATTAATATATAATTAACCAAAGCAAAAGATATCCGCTTAATATCATAATATGGCCCAAATTTGCTGTCTGGCCTGTGCTGAGCTGGCTTGTTGAACCTGCTTGACTATTTCCTTTCCCTTTCTCTCTCCTCTCACCACAAAAAAAACACGCATATAAAATAATCATAATTTTAATGCNGTTGTTTAGTTTGTCTGAGTCTTCAAATGTTTGTGTTTTTTTCTTGTTTTAGGTGAAACAGAGGAGGAAGAAGAAGAGCATAATGCAAATACAAAGCACAAAAATGGGCACTTCAAGAAAGCCTAAAAGTATCAAATCTAAAGATAACCAAGTAAGGATCTTTTTTCCTATTCCCACCATCCCTCTTTACATTTATAGTGTTTTTTGGTGTTTTGATCCATGCCGACTTTATATTTTTGTTGTTTGAGATGATTTTTTGTATGCGTAATCGTGTCGAATCCTTGCCGTGTGCTTACTGAGTATAGTTTTGATGTTGGGCTGTTTGCTTGGAAAGGCAACTTCATGTGGTGTTTGATCTGTTTCTCAGAGGTTCTTAAGGGGTTATTTACTTATTTATCATTAGTCGGTTTTTGCTTCAAAATCGAGTCCTTTTGAAAATCGGTTCGAAATTTACCCGTTCGTCGACACGATTTTTTCCCGGATAATGTAGTGACGTTTGTTGGAGTTTATCGAAGCTGGATTCAATTTCATTAGTTTGTCGAGGGGCTTTTTATTGAGAAGCGTTCTGACATAGACGATTGCTTATCAATAAAATCGAAACGATTTCTTGAAAGTTTTTGTTAGATATAGGCTTAAGATTCTTATTACAAATGCTTTCTTGTTTTGATTCATCGGCATTTGTTGTCAGTCATATTTGATTTCAGCATTTAAATGCGAACTCTAACGGATTGGTAAAATCAAGCGATTACTCAAAAGCTTTTGTTGGATCTGGGCTTATGATACATTTTTGTTTCAGTTCTATGTTAGATCTAGGCTTAAGAATCTGTCTTGCAAACATATTTTTCGTGAATGCATATGCCCGTGAATAAACGTTTATGTGTCTTTTGGTTAATGTTTGTTCGTAATTTGTTGATCTACTTCATTTGTTTGTTGTTGTGTGATCGACTAGCTATTGCAATGGTTTTTAGTCATTGCAGTTAACCCAATTTAGCCACATAATCTATACACTTTCTCATGTTCTTTCTTTCATTTGCTTTAAATGATATAAGACGATTGTATAAGGAGTAATCAACTCTTAATTTTTCTTATCGTTTTAACTCTCGAAACAGGCTTGCTCGGGAAGCTCCAAGAAATCAGGAAGGTATAGCATTCGATACGAACTAATTGAATTGGAAAAGAAAATTATCATTTTTTTTTTTTGTCTCTTCTTCTTTTACTTTTATAATTCATCTAACTGATAAAACTCAAAATTAGAAACAATAACACACGGAAGAAGAAAACCCGACTTACCGATTTATACGATAATGTCGAGTCCATGTATTCCGTCATGGAGCGTGCGGATCGAGTTCTGACATGCTTAGAAAGTGAGCTTGATGAGCTCCCGTTTTTCTTGAAGTCTATGCTCCCCTCAAATGTCTCTCATGGATTCTGGCTGGTAACGAGCTAGCCATTTGAAAATTTTCTATCATGTTTTCGAAAAGCTTGCATCAAACGTTGATTTAATCCCTTTTTATTTTAACTTATTTAATTTATTTCGTTTTGGTAATGCTTTTCTTATGGCAGCATCTACCGAAAAATTTCTGCAGACTTCATTTGCCCAATCATGATACGTCTATAACTTTGGTGGACGAATGGGGGAACGAATATAAGACCTCTTATCTTCTCGAGAGGCATGGTTTGAGTGCCGGGTGGCGAGGCTTCTCGATTGCTCATAGGATTTTGAAAGGCGACATACTCATTTTCCATTTGATCGCACCTTGCAAATTGCACGTAAAGTTTTTATAATTAATTTCCTCTTTAATCGAAGCTCAAGTTAAAATATTAGAGGTGGGATATGATAATTTTTAAGGAGAGATTAGAAAACATTATTATGCTTTGTTGAATCTAACCTTAATAGTATTAGGGATGTCTTTTCGTTCTTTTTTTTATGATTTATATATAGTTCGTTAGGAAAATTTGCACTATCGACCGCTTTTGTAGGTGCACATTGTTAGAGTGCATGGCTCGGATGTCGTTAGTGCAGCTCTTTGCCTTATGGAATTGGATGCTTCTAAAAGAGGGGCAAATGATGGTTAGTGTTTTGTTTTTTTCTTTCCCTTGAAAATTACAATTTTGCTTTTTTTTTTCTCTGTTTTGTTCCATGACTTTTGAACGACTATGGATCGAGATTTGGTTTCTCACATTTGTGTTTTGCTCTCACGTTGTAACTTTTATGAAGATCTTGAGAAGAAAGATAAACGAAAGCGCAAAAGAAAGACAAAGTACGTGGAGCCTTTCTTGCCCAATCTCTCCACAACACCCTTGGAGAATGTCAAAGGAAAAAACGTACTCGATCAATATGTGAGAGAAACCGATGGTTTTAGCTCCAAATTCGTAGGTGTGATTTTTTTATTTTTATTTATTTGGTTATGTCCATTCTTTTTTTACATTTTCCGTTTTGACGAACTAACATTCTTGAAAACGCCTGATTGACATGAAGAAATGGTGTTTTGTAGATTCTGAAATTGCGGTTAAGAAAGCCCTTCGCTATCACGAGTCGTCGTTTTTGCACGAACATCCTTGTGAGGGCGTCGTTTGTAGGTAGGTTTTGTAAAAACCCCAAAAGAAAAAGGACCAAAAAGAAAAAAAAGAAAGATACTTTGGGGAGCACCTTTATTTATGCTCCGTTTGGTGTGTCCTCAAAAGCATCGATTTTTGGGGAATATATGTTAAAAGCTTGCAAATAGCACAAGTCCCTTTATGAAACGAGTATATATATATGTGCCGGGACTATTACAGAATCCTCGGTTTTACTTTTGATGAGTTGGATCGTGAGGATTTTTGGGGTTATAAACATATATGTATGAACTCACTCAAGGTTTTAGTGTTAGAAGAAGATTACATATCACATATGGGTTATATTATATATGCCTTATATTCATTGACGCTTTTTTGCTATGAAGCCAACAGTGGCTCCATAGTGGAGCCAACCTTCTATATATAACAAATAAACCTACCATATTCTCTGATTTCTTAAATAACATTAATATAATTTTATTAATATGGTAGGTTTATTTGTTGTATATAGAAGGTTGGCTTCATAGCAAAACTGATTCATCGATGCAAAAGTTATATATCTTTTACGAGTTACTAAACAACTTGCATTGTTTCTATATTCGTCGATGCAAAATTTTTATATATTTTATGAGTTACTCGGCAACTTGCATTGTTTTTATATTCATTGATAACGTCTTGACTATTTGCCAAAAAATAGTAATTGTTTGAAAGCATGAAATTCGAACAAGGATGCATCTTGATTGGAATTCAATTTGTATTAGGTATAAAGGTGATTTTGAGGCATGTGATGATTTATTTGGTAGGTAAATTTAAACTCGAAAGTCTTCATAATACTTGGAGTGGGATATTTGGAATCTTCAAAGTTACCACGGATAAGTTGAAAAATGATTGTAGTTTATAAAATTGGGTAAATTGTAGGTAAATGTCAGCTTCAGATGGAGTAACTGTCAACTTTAAAAGCAATGTCACAATGTACTATTTTTTTTTTTCCTTTTTTAAAAAAAAAATAAATAAATATGTGCTTATGTAATTAACCTTACATACAACTTACCCCTATGAGCCATTTTGCAAGACCCAAAACAAACATAAGAGGCTATGTAATAACACACACACACACAAAACACAATTAAATTTTGATGCAGAATAATTAGATTATTATTATTATTATTATTATTATTATTATTATTATTATTATTATTATTATTAGTTATCTTGGAGAATAAGTTAGGAATTTTAATATTTAATAAGAGTTCTTGTCTTGTTGGACAAGTTAGGTCTACGGTTAGGAGCCTTATATAAAGGACTCCCCCTAGTTTATTTTCATTAGTTGATTATTGAATGAAAAATGAGATTGTGAGTTTTATCGAGAGAGTATCTCGTTCGTTTATTTTTTCCACTCATATGCTTCCCCTACGTCAGTTGATATCAGCAGTTAGTACGATTCGCGATGTCGCCGGGACGAGAAGATGCCGCAGACGAACGACGTGACGCAACCTTCAACGATCGGTTTCAAAAGATCGACTACTGATTTGAACAATTGGACGTGCGTTTCACGGATTGGTTTGCCGATCTTTCGACAAGGATCGAGGATGTGCATTTGACGCTTAACAACGTGATTGTTTCGGAATTGCAGACGAACCGCGATGGGGCTGTGGGCCGTGGCTTTCACGGGGGAGACAGAGGCGGTTGTGGAGGACGCAGCCATGTCGGGGCGCCCCGGCAGCGATCCCCGCCACCTCTGAACGGCATCAAGGATGGTGACTTTACCTGGTCGGCTAACTCGTTGGCAGATCGACCACCATGGCGAGGAGATGAAACCACATGTCAGCCCCGAGTTCGCGAGCAGCGGTGGGCTGGAGGTAGTTTCGTACATGGAGGCGGATTTTGGGCGTGTGAAATAGACGACTCCAGTTGCACTTCTGGGCCTCACAAAAGCATTTTTTGGGCTTGTGAGGGTGATGTCGTTTTTGGGCCTGCGCCCAATTCAATTTATTGGGCTCAGGGGAAGGATGAATTTAATCCTTATTTTGGGCCTGAACAGCCACAAACAGGCTTTGACTTCGAGTTTATAGATTTCCTGAATTTTGAGCCCGACACGTGCAATATCTACGACGGTCCGCCAATTTTTGATGAAGAGCCTCGGGTGACGAAGACATATTTTTGCAGTAATATGGGTCCCGCGTGGGACGTCGCGATGGTTGAGTCTTCGAATGGGCAACCGTCATTCACACCCGATTTTTTTAGTATTTTGGCCAAAGATGGTTTTTCGGAGCCGAAGCCGAGACTCCATAACTGGTGGGCCATCTTTCGATTGTTGTTCCTGAAGTCTCCCAACACCGGGATGCTTGGCCGTAGTTATAGATTTATGCGCGGTGACCGATGTGGTCTGTTTTGTGTTCATTCGGTTGTGTGGGCTTTGCGTCGGGTGTCGTATACATGTGACTTTGCGGCAGTTTTGAATCCATGACCGAGATTATGTTTACCTTTGAGATTGTTGGACGACTTTCAACCTTCGTGTTCGATCGGGGGAAATGTTCGGGCTGTTGCTGTGTTGCGAACGTCTCCCACGGGAACGGGTCGGATTCGAGGGCGAATCCTGCTCAACCGGAGAAGAATGATGCAGAATAATTAGATTATTATTATTATTATTATTATTATTATTATTATTATTATTATTATTATTAGTTATCTTGGAGAATAAATTAGGAATTTTAATATTTAATAAAAATTCTTGTCTTGTTGGACAAGTTAGGTCTACGGTTAGGAACTTTATATAAAGGACTCCCCTAGTTTATTTTCATTAATTGATTATTGAATGAAAAATGAGATTGTGAGTTTTATCGAGAGAGTATCTCGTTCGTTTATTTTTCCCACTCATATGTTTCCCCTACATCAGATTTGCTTGTAAATAACTATAAATAGTAAATATACTAAACCTCAATGGGTAGTTTTTGTCATAAGCCCTATCTAACAATACAAAGCTGAAAAACACGTCATAAGATTCAGGTATGTAGAGTCTACATATTAAGTTCCTCTAAAACCCTCCAGAGATAGGCAAAAGCAAAACACATCACTAAAATATACACAGGTACGGTAATAAGATTTTACCCGAACCCCGTTTCAAAAAGTTTATTTTTTTTCACCATGGGGCTCGAGCAAGCATTTGGAACTCGTAACAAAGCTTCTTATCCTCCCACTCGAGAGCTTCCACCTCAGCCTCCACACGACCCACCAATGTTCTTACACTCAACAACATCACTTGATGCTCCCGTTTTATGCCTTTCAGCTTTTGCACTCTATCTCGTAAAAACCCGACTGCCATTCCCAAATCCTCGAAAGCTTTTAAGGTTTTCTCCCAGCAATTGAGGCAGTGATCTGACGTGGCAAGGTCCACGGACCTAATGGCGTCAGATATGTTTATGGTCTCACAAATCATGGCCACAACTAGTTTACTGCTGAGTCCTTTGATTAGACAGTCGTGTAAGAACGCTTTTTGGCTGCTGCAAAGGTTGTAATATTTTGTCCTGAGAACGGAGGGTATTTCTGGGTCGAGAATTAGGCCGTCCATTTGAATCTTGAAATCGTCAAAGCCCTTTTTTATGTCGATTTCTGGGAGATTGGAGTTGGAAAGTTTGATTTCGCTGATAATTCTTGGCTTTTTTGTTTCGCGAGGATTTACAAGCACGCGTCGTGTTGTTTGACCGTCTGTTCGGTCTTCGGTTTTCACTGGTCGAATAGTTAAAGATTTCATTTTTTCTTTATTTGAGAATGTGGAAAAATATATGACAGAATAAAAATTTAGCAAAAAAATGCATTTTTAGTCGTGTTGGTTTAACGTCGTAGCAGTTTAAATCCCAAGATTCCAACTCTTCTTCGCCTTTTTGTCATGTGATTTAATAATTTGCTACAATTTTTTAGGACTGAAATTGTAACAAAATTTTAAATTAATTGCAACAAAGTTTAAAATTACAGGACTTAAATAGCTAATCGAATATCTAGGAATTCGGGAATTTGTTGCAATTTCAGAGGACTGAAATTGCAGCAAAATTTCAAATTACAAGTTTGAAATTACAACAAAATTTTAAACCACAGGGCTGAAACTGCTAATCAAATATCTGAGAATTCGGGAATTTCTTGTAATTTCAGAAATTGCAGCAAAATATTAAATCACATGACCAAAAAGCGAAATGTTGGAACCTTAGAATTAAAATTGCTATGGCGTTAAACCAGCAGAACTAAAAAAATACAAAGTTGCCTAAAAACTGTCTTACCACTGCTTATTGGCCTAATGTTCGGGAAATCATGGGTGTGCATGCCAATTAACCCTTCGTTTTCTGTCACTTTGCTTGCTTTTATAATATAAACCTGAAACACAAAAATCCTTGAATTCGAATCTGCCCAAACAATGTAAGCAGTTTAGATTTATTTTGAACCTAAATTCTAAAAAACATGCACAAACCAAACTTCCGAAAAGATCTTTCAATCAATCAAGTATGGTGCTTGACATGTAAAGCCTAGTAATCAAATACAACAACAACAACAACAACATACCCAGTATATTCCCAACAGGTTGGGGTCTGGGGGGTCAATTGTACGCAAACCTTACCCTTGTAATTATACAAGCTAGTAATCAAATAATAAATGGATAAAAAAAACCGAGTACAAATGCCGAAGAGTTACCCTGAACTTGCAAGGCTCAATCAGATGGAATAACAGAGCATCTCCCTCGAGCAATTTGTGCGACACGGAGAAAATCCTCCAACCACCGCTTAATCTATTTTTACGAACTGAGTATTTCATGCTGTATTCTTTATCACTTTCATCAACCAAAACAATAGACTCGTCTTGGGTTGGCATATGTGCATCGCAAAATTTCTTGGGTAAACCCTGTCATTAAAGAATAAAGAATACATCTTTAAAAGATGATAAGTAATAAAAGCTTTATTTTAGGACTTTTATACAAGATATATATATATATATATAGCAAACTTCGGCTTACCAAATAAAATTTTCCAGAAAGATGGGATTTAAGCAGCTGTTTCAAAAAACTAGGGAACTGTCCTGACGAGTTTGATTGAATCCCTTTTGCTTGCTCCACGGTAGAGGTATTCCCATTGAAACAACTATGTTGATCAATGGTTGTGCTCGTTTTCGCTTCATTACTACAGGTTGGATTTAAAAGAAAAAGAAATTATTATAAAAGAATAGACACTGCTGATAAATAATACCCATTATATATATATATATANGCACACCACTTTGTATGATGATGGATTATTGTATCAGAAACAAATATATCGTATTGTTAAAGCATATAATAGATAATCTGTACATATGTACAAGGATTAAAATAAAAAAGAAAAAAAAAATCAATACATTATACAACTAACTAACAAGCACCATGTAGACCTTCAATGTAACTACCTAAACGAAAACATGAGTCATGCTGCACGAACAAGTCACGCTACAAGAACATAATGAGTGACATACACTTTTAAAAATCAACAATAACTTAGCTAACACATCACTTTATGACAACCTTTATTTCAAACAACATTTTTCAGAAGATTAGTCCAAGGATGAAGAACAGACCCATAAAGTACTTGATAAAAGAATATCTACTGCTACAGTTTCTATCTATATAAGAAATTAAGTTGGTTCATGCACTGCATGATCACATTTTTTGTCCGCTGTGTAGCGTAAGTCGGACAAAACTTAGAGTTTATGAATTTAAAACCGAAAAACACTTTCCTTTGCAACAAGTATACCTTCACACTCATTGCATAAAAAAAATTTAAAACCGAAAAACACTTCCCTTTGCAAGCAAGTATACCTTCACACTCATTGCATAAAAAAAAAATGAATTACACGAGTTTACAGCTGTTTGAAATCTTGATGGTCTGGTTACAAAATCACATTTTCATTTTACATGATATCATTTATTCATAATTGTACCTCAAGCAGCAAAAAGGGAACGACTAGCCGTATTTAAAAAGGCATTTTGCAGAATTTCGATTCAAGAACAGAATTGACATGACAGCATATACTTAAGTAGCAATGGCACCAGACACTTGCCAACCACATCAAACACTTTCCAAATGATAATGATAATAATACGAAAACCAAAAAAATCAAAACTTTAGCACAAATAGTCTTAAACCACTGGCATCATTCAGGTATCAGGAGCATTTAAGAAGACCCGTGATGAAGAACAACAAAAATTCAAAAAATCAAACTCTGCAGCCAAACAGACCTCTTCT